GTATGGTAAATCTCATGTTGTATATAGTGCTCTGACATGAAGCTTCTGCTTGAGTACTGCAGCTCTGTATTTGCTGTGTTTGGATGGCCTGTGTATCATTTACCTTACGCACTTAGAGAATGAGATAAGATGACCTTGGTGTGCCTGGTAAAACTCACATCCTAGCAGGGAAAGGTTGACTGCCTCCCTCAGGGAAAAGGGATACTGTACACTGAGATTGTGTTCCACTCAGATGTATCACTTTACTCTTCCAATCAAATTAGAGTCGTGTAATGAGCTATAAATATGTAGAAATGGACTACAAATGATCCAAATTTGAAATAATGCTGATTAGGGGTGCCATGCTTGATGTTGTCATTTGAGTAGCTGCACTTTGCCTGTCTAGATATTCGAAACTAGATCTTCAATCCAGCCTGTATTGATTCTGAGGCCTATTATATGCAGTAATTGCATGCTGCTGCCTTTAACAAGTCTTGGTTATTGCATCTGTGAATTGGATTACTGCATTTATTGAGGGACTGGGACTATTGCCTGAAAAACCCTTTCTTTCTCTTTGTCCTGGTATTGAAAAAGGATGCCATCACAAAGATAAAACACTGGCATATCATTAAGTGTTTCCCCCATCTGTTTTGTTTGTTTCAAGCATAGTTGAATACTTTATCTACAGTAGCATGCAACAAGTAATATTAATAGATTGTTTATATAAGGATTATGTATGCATCCTTCACATTTAGTTATGTTCTAATATTTTAGTTAATTGCTACTGTAATATAGCTAACTGAAATTACTACTGTGCAGCTTCATGGAGTAAAATATCATCAGATAATAAAAAAAAAAAAACATAGACCTAAATCTACTTTTTAAAGCAGCCCTGTTAAGAGATCAATCTTGCATATCTTTAAGGCTGAATAGGTTTTGGCAGCCTTGAGAGAGGGACATTTACCACCTGAAATAGGCAAGAGGGTATTTCCCTCACAACTGTTCAGAATCGTCCCACAGGGGTAAATCAGGCCTCTCTGTTACATGCCCTGCTCTGCCCTCATACAACTGAACTCTGTGGCTGGCGGTAGCAAGACATACATGCACATACACACTAGCACACTCTCTGTTGTTTTCCCTCTTGCCCACCCCTTAACATGCACATGCTTGCACATCCAAAAGCCAGCATCTGACTTGGCACTTAGCTGTGTTGAGCCTTTCAGAACAATTTAAATGGATAATCAGGTTGGTGATGCAAAGAAAGTGGATTGTGCATCTCTTAATCTCTGCACAGAGCACCCTAAGCTTCTCTTGGTGCAGAATTAGACTGGCTTTATGCAAACTGACACCAGACAGTGTGTGACAATGTAACACTCTGTGGGTTCCAGTAAAATCTGGCACCTCTACCCTGGGGAGAAGGCCTTTTTCAACACAGACGGCTGACATCTTCCATAACCCCCTATACAAGACTCTAACTCCACATCTCTATTATCTGTGCCCCTGGTGTAGATGTTAATTAGCATCATCATTAACAATGAGAGGAGATGCACACAAGCACTGTCTTTGATACTGATCTTGCTCAGTCCACCCTCCCCAGCTGAAAAATATTGCATCTCTGTCTTTTCCTTTGTCTTCCACTAAAAAAGCAAGCACTTCTCTGCACTGGATAAGTATCTGTGGTATCCTTAAAGGTCGCTGTCATGCCTTCTGTTCCCTTTCAAAAGAGATTATGACCTCAGCAAACATTCATCTTTGACATTTGTCCAAAGCTCAAAATTGGGTCCATCATGTAATGTGCATCAATATACAATTTACCATTTCCAAAATACTAATTTATGTAGTCATTATTATGACTTAATTATGACTATAAATATTAGTGACTGTCTTGTATTAAACAGTCTTCCTGTAATTTCCCTCTGCGGTTATTAAAGTATGTCTGATTCTGAGTCTTCAATTACCTTATGCAAGGAAATCTGTGTCGATCAGCAGGTATAAACCCTTGTTTTGGTTAGTAGCTCATGTGAGCAGTGTTACTTATGTTAGTTTTCTCTTCCCAAACTCAGTCTTAGCTGTGCATCTGACTCAGCATTCCCTTCATATAAGCCAAGGCAATGCATGGTAATGGCAGTATCCTAGACAAAAAAATGATTAAGGTAGAAACCCTGTTTAAAGCTGGTAATTGCTTGACTGTGGGAGAGTCTTACTGTTTAACAGGAAAATATATTTTATAACCATACAGTAGCAGCTACAAAGGAATGGTTTAAACCAAGCATATTCATGTGTTTGAATGGTTCAATAAATGATTCTGAACAGTTTTCATTATAATGTGCTTCTGTTTGATCACATTCGGAGGTCTGACCATTGATGAAGACAGTAAGGGTTGAAGAAAAACATGCAGCTTTTTCTAGTTATTTGAATAGCATGTAGCTGTCTTCATGTAGCTACATGATATAATCCAGATGAGACTGGGATAATTTAAAGGCTGCCCCTGTTTCATTTCCAAGGCATTGAAACAGGCAATAATAACCTATCGACAGTGTTCTGTTAAGAATAAAGAACAAAAATTCTCCCTGTTTGCCTCATTTTGCCATGAATTTGAAATTAACCTTTCATCGAAAACCACAATGATTATTCAGTGGTGAGGGAAGAAATCCAAACTGACACAGAAACCGTTGCATAGCAGGAGGAGACAAGCTAGGCAAGCACAACACTCTTATTAGCTCTCCCTTCATCAGTGCTTGTAAAGACAGCTGCCCTGAGCAGACAATGAATTAGTTTCGAGTGTCAATGTGCTAAAGGAAGCCAAGGAAACATTAATACTCCCTAATCAAGGTCTGCGTTGGCATATTCTCTTCCTTGTCTTCCTTCTGAAATTCCACTCCCTACCAGACACAGGGAGGAAAGGAAGACCAGAAAAAGACCATATTTCTCGAGTTATATTGTGCGTGCATATACACTGTATATATATGCAAATATAAAATATGCAAGGGCTATGCAGGTTGTATGTGTTTCTATAGCTGCAGTGGGTAATATCAATAACTCGATTTAAACATTTAAACACCATCAAGGCATAAAGTCTGGTAATTTCTTGTGAGACCTGTGTGTATGTAAAGGTAGGTCATCATTATGAGGCTGTACAAATGGCTACAATCCAGTAGCCAGTTGGGGGGGGGGGGGCAATTTGAGTATTTATATCCTCAAATTGCAATAGGATTTTAAATTCAAGGTGTAGTAGAGAACAGTTTCTCCCAATGAGGATAAACGGAGCAAAGAGCCCAATAACATAATCTCAAAATTACCATTTATTCTCATAATGAGGCCTGAAGTGGAGAAATATGTATTTCAGGCTGTAACAAAGTAATGAAAGTGGATGACTTACTGTATTTAATGTTGCTCATAGCCTTGGTGATTGATAGATCATTTTCTATAGATGAATACCATGACCAGCTGGAGCCACAGCACTGCACATCTCCTTATAAGCACCACAATGGCTTTTTTGTTTTCTCTGACTGAGCGTTGTTGCAAACCTTTTTTCAGATATTTGTTTCTCACTGTCTACTGGTGGCTCTATATTGCTCGATCATTAACAGCCTTCGTGCTGAGCAGATCAGCCTGACTGCAGCGGAGGAAAGGCATTTGCATCCTGGTCGAGAGCACCAGGACTTCCAGTGTTCTGCACGATGGCCCTACGGGGAAACACCTATTATTCCTCATGCCACTGTATCAACACTGCAGTAAAGTCAGCTACTATGACATTTGCACCACCTGCCTTTCTTCAATATGATATAAACCACATTAAACTGTGGATCACCAGCTCCCTGGCCAGATCTTTAGAAGAGCTTATAAATTCAAAGAATATTATGAATTGCAATCCAGTTTTCATAAAAGGATATTTTTTTACCCACCGCTACTTAAACTTAATATGAAATGTGCTTGTTTGGAAAAAAGCTGTCGAACCCTCATTTGGCTTAAATAAAGTGGGAAGAAATGATGTCGCTGCAGCTGATGGTTGATAATAGAAAGCATTTGTATGACCTTTATTTGGTCACATCAGAGATCTTGCTGTTGACTCTGAAGCTAACAACTGTGATTTTTCTTTTGTTTAATGCTATCATGAGTTTTTGCATTCTTAGCAACAGTTACTTGCCATTTGATATAAAGATCCAAAGCTTTCGTTTTCTTAAATACATTCTACACTATATATTCTTCTGTGTTTTGATGCTAAAACCTAACATTGTTTAGTAATATAACATTTAATAATCCTAATATTGGCATCAAAAGCCATGGTACTTTTAGAAGGTGAAGCTTTCTGTGCAAGTTGGGAATAGCAAAAAATGGCAGGAAGCTCGGGTTGCATGCCGTAAAATAATGTGGTCCCTCACTGTGGTCATTGTGAGAAGATAAGTATTTTGGCTATCCAAAGTCTGGCTTAATGCAATGTGCAGATCAAAACAAGACCCAAGAAGGTGAAAGTCCCATCCAAGAAGGCGCATAAGTAAATTAAGCATGACCAAAGCTTTAATTTGAAAGGCAGAAGGATTAGACCGTTTGATGAACAGATTCAAGGGTGTGGATGAGGGGGAACAAAAAAACACTTCTGGCCAGGCGTTATAATCTTTGAAAATGTTCTTTAAACTCATCTATGTGACGTGCATTTTCCCTGCACTTCAGCCCAACATCTTCTATCCACAAGATTAAGGGCTTTTATCATGTATCCTCTCTTTTCACTGTGATTGCTCCTTGATATTTCTGCTTTTGACGTCCTCCTCCACACTTGCCTTTTACATCTTTTTTCCCCTCAAAGTGGACTTCAGTAGGTCTAGGAAATGTTAAATCTAACCACACTTAAAGGCGAGTGTATTACCACTCTACTAAAACACTCTTTCCGCTTAAGCAGAGTTGTTTGATTTAATCCTTGAAGCTTTATTTCCAGTGAATTTGATAAGACCGACCACATCAAATGCTGCACTTCTGTTTTGTATTTCATGGTTTTCTGTTGTTTTTCTTCGTCTTTTCTGTAGACGTTTCATACACCCAGCCTGGGGGATGAGGAGTTTGAGATCCCTCCCATAACACCTCCACCTGAGGCAGAGTCCAGCCTTGGACATGAAGTCAGTTCCCCCTTTCCAGCAATGCCCGAGCCCCCAGCTCAGCATAGGGGTCCATTAATTCCCCAGTTTCCCCCACAAAGTCTGGAACTACCCTCCATTACCATCTCTCGTAACATGATGGACCAAGAAGGGGTCTCTGTCAACAACGGCCAACTTGTGGTGAGTATTGTCATGCTTTTTTGTAAACAAATAATCAGAAAAATGAACCATGTAAAGCCCTATTTATGCTGACTCCCCAAAATAAAATCGAGACAAATTACTGAAGTAAGTTAAGTAAAATAAGTTTTGCCCATGTGTAATTAATTTAAACAGCTTTTCTCTGAATGCAGATTTGGTAACGAATTTTAGTAAGCAAAATAAACAAAAAACAATCATGTAGACCAAGTAGCAAAAAAGTGAGGATGTTTTTGGAAGGTTGAAAGCTAAGTTAAGTTTTGAAGCAATACCCCAAGTTTTGAACATCTTACAGGGAACCATCATCTAGGAATTGAAAGACTGGTAAAATTGCATACCTGTTAAATCATTGCTGTCCTTGGCCATGAACAGCCAAAGAGAGCATTCAAATTAGCAGCTATAGCACAAGTTCTGGGGGAGATGGAGACGAACATCTAAGGAGGAAATAAATCTCTGGTTAGTCATTTTACAAAGAAATTACGTCTTTGGAAGTTTAGCATTTCTTTATGCTCAGAATAAATGAAATATTTTGCTCTACATACACCATGCAATAATTAAAGGAAGGCTAAACCTACACATCAGGCTTGAGCTGTTTTTTACACATGCACTGCCAGTACATGTGTTGTGGCGTTGTTTGTCTTAAGCAATTTGAGGCAAACACTGCTTTTAGAAAGTAAATAGCTATAGTTACTGGTAACTGAGTTAGTAAAAGTAGCTATGCCATCACTTTTTATAATCTAGTGTCCAATAATTTGGAAAACTTTCCTGTTACTGTAATTTCAAATGTCACCAGAGATTCAGTTATGGAATATAAAGTGTTTGTTATTAATTAATAAATGTAATAATAAATTTAAAGGTCTACTCATCTAAAAAACATTGAAAACTAATATGTTCTATTTTGGTGGATATGATTTGACAATTAAGTTGCAGTATGATTATGTAGATATGATTATGTTTTGCACATTGACAGACTTCATTTGGCTATAAAATAGGTATGAAGCTGAAAAATTATACTTTTTATGCAATTTAACCAAAAGAAAATACACTGAGCAATGTAATTAAACTGCATAACACTATTCCAGTAGAAAAACATCAAAAGCCTTTCAGCTCTGTTTGGTCCTGGGATTTTTGTGTGAATAAAAATGAAACCAAGAAAGTAAAATCATTACTGCCCTGAACAAGTGAAGAACGTATCTTGATAAAAGCTGTCAGTTATTATTATGTTGATGTTTGGAGCTTCTTTAGATTATAGGTTCTTAGCTACGTTTATAAAGTTTTTGTTTCCGCACACGATGAGCAAATCACAGCAATATTTAGCCTTCAGTGAGCGCTTTTCCTGTATATTGCTGTCATTGAATCAGGGGCTCTGCGGCATCGTCTCTTATCTGTTCTCATGGTGACAATGCGCATGGCTATTGCCTGTGCCAAGTGTGCTTACATGTGCACCTTCCAATCACTTGCACTTACACCAGGAAACTGTAGTCCTTATTTTTACATGATAATTAATGAATAACAAATCAGTTTAAAGTGTAGCAAGTACTTTTACATGCTTATTAATTACAGTGCTAGTTACAGAAAAAGTAAGGTTGTTACTGTGTTGCGTTACTTAATAACGCGTTAGTCCACTGGTGACACTGGTGTTAAGTAGCCAAAGGAAATCTGGTTGGGAATCAGTAGAAGCAGATAAAGGAATATTCTCCAAAAATAACAGAAAAATAGTTTGCCTTAAAAGTTTTTAGAATAGTGCAGAGGTTGATCTAACAGAAAGGCAGAAAACTTAAGTTTACTTTGAAAGCTATATAATGGTTTAGATTATAGTGAATGTATTGGCCCAGTCAAAGTCCCAAACTAAACCTATGAACTAAGAAACATCTCTATTGGTGGTCAAAGCTGTTAGAGACCCCCTGAAAAAAACTGGCCAGCCCCCCAAAAATTGTTGTTTTTCTTTGACAGGTAAATCAGACATAGCAACAGCTGTTTGAATCAACTGGGAAAAAAAACACATTTATTTTACACGGTACCAAAGGTTTGCAATAAGATCTAACAACAGTGATGCTATATTACTGGTTTATTTTGTTAAAAAGTTTTAGTAAGAATAAACAACTTCGCCCAACAGATTAAATCTTTGTCCTTAGCACCCTTACCTCCTTACCTCCCCTTTGTCAGCTCTCTGTGAGCCCCCCCCCCACCCAGGCAGATAAAACAAGGGGCTCCTTGCTTCATCTCTCCATCAGTCTGGGTTCCTGGGCTGAAAAATGCTGAAGACTCTTTCTTTAAGGGATATGCAGATCTTTGCAAGGCACCATAGAAACCCAAAGTCAGTTCGTAATGTCTGTAGTTTCTCAAAGTGACATTCTGTATTTGCAGCTGCTGCAGAGATTTTTGACGACATATGCAGAATAAATCAGATGATATAGATGCCGATAATTCTAAAAACCACTGATTTAAGGAATAAAATGTCACCTTGCAGCTTCTGTACACCACCTCTTGTCAGCACATTTGGCTCAGCATCTGGCCTTGTTTACAACTCAGGATCTATGTAATCACTCTGACTAAATGTCATGATATTATGTTACTGCTAGGATTCAAAACAAAAAAGAAGAAACTTGCTAAGAGCATGGATGACCCCATCTGCCTATCCTTCTGTATGGTGCACAGATGTGAAGGGATCACAGGTGTTATGATACAAAAGATGGATCTATGCTAGGCAGACAAAATGGCACCCATACGTGTGCAGTTTCACATTTAGGTCACACTATCAGGAGGTTAGTTTGGGTTTTTTCCCTAGATGTAAAGGTTTTATTTTTGTACTTTTAGTTAAAAAAATAAAAAGCTCGTTGGTTTATGTCAATGTTCACGAGCATCAAGTTTTGGAGAGCATCATAGTTAATCGTTTTAGTTCTGCAGATATATCAAAAATAACACTAATATTCCACTTCAGCCATAAAGAATATTTGCAACATCACACCTGAGCCGAATGTGTCCCAGTTGGAAGTTAGAAACCCAGTGGGATTTGCTAATTGTGGAGCTTCTAACATCTGTTAGCAGTAGTAATGGAACATTTCCATAAAAATATTGTTTATATATTTTTTTATATTGTATTTAATATTGCCATTGATGTCATTAAAAAAAGCTTTCAACTCTAATAAATATCTACTAGCAGTCTGCAAACCCAACGTGCGTTCCTATTGTCAGTATGCATGGAAGCCATAATGGATACTGACCTCAGGGCTGTTTAGTGACCACCTGCTGTACCTCAGTTAGCATTCCTGTGTTTTTAGTTTAGGCATTTTATAATTTTGTCAACTAGAATTATTTTTGAAGACTATTAGCAACCACTATTGGGAATTACTGGTAATGATATTCCAATGGTAAATATTTGTAAATCAAACAAACACTATTATCAACCTCAACAAAACATTTACAAAAACGTTCACATTTAGGCATTTAGAATTTGGATTTAAATGACCTGGATTTGAATACACAGCTTTTTTCTTCTAAATCCTGTGTCTCCATTTTTAAGTGAGTCAAAGATACAAATCCATAGGTTCCAGCTACTGTTGATTAGAACATCATACAGACTATCTTTGTAGAGTTGTAGATTAAATATCTTGTTCTTAATAAAGATATCCTGCTGCAGGTTGTGAGATCATCATCTTAGGGTGAAAATGCATTTTCAAATGCCACAATCATAGAAGCACTGAGAGGGAAAAATGAAAATGTCACTGGCTGACTAGTTGTCTTACAAACCTATTACAGAAATGGAAAATTCATTTAGAAGCGAAGAAATAAAAGGACAAATGCATGAACAAGGACATAGTGATATCCGTAACACATTTACTTGCAAGCCACAAATCACATTGCATCAAACCAACCAGTCATTATCATTAGAACTGTATGAATAAGTAAAATATGGGTTAGAAGTGCTGCTCTAACCCTCCCTACTCTGATATTTATTTACATTCCATATGGTAACTCTATAAAAAAGTACCATTATTTTTCTTGCTTCTATTTATCTGGCATATAAAATAATTGCAGCTTTTAGAATATCCGTGCCCCATATAGTAAGTTAGCCCCAAAAGGCTTTCTGCCTAAAGAATTTTCATTTCATGGTCAGTTAAGCTTTCTGCATCTGGAAGAAACGGAACCTCAACACAATTACATTCCTGACTATTCTGCCGACTTGCTGGAGGATTAGATTTGATTCTCAAACATTATTCCTCTTTAACACCATTTGCATGGCTCATGTCTCTGATTGTGCAGAGACTCTATTAAAATCTGAGGGGAGAATATGGGTCTGTGCTCTCTGCCTACCGGCATTGATGCCGGCACACTGCTCACTTGTTATCAGTCATCACACATTGTAGTGCAGGAAGACTTGTGGTGGCCCTTCATTTTTCTTGCAAATGGGATTGATCCCCAAAAGTCTTATGACTGTCTATATAAGCTCTTTTCATCTGCGGTCTTATCTCTGCTTTGAAAGCAGAGCACAACTTCTAAATGAGATAAGTAACAGTGTCGTTTGCACTGGCTTCTATATTCAGAGACAATGATTTACACAGGCCCTAGGAGAGGTGTTTTGTCATTTTGTCAGCACACTGATAAAGGAATGACAACCTTATATACATGATTACATTCTGGGTTATTTGTTATGGCTGCAGGGGCAAACAAATAAACAGTGCACTATTGCAATTACATTTTTCATCAAGCCACCATGCTCATATTTCCCAACACTTATTTAGCTTGCTTTGTGCTGGCTATCTGGTGCAGAATTCTTTCTGTATGTGAACATCTCTTTCTTATCACAACTTAATGAGAAACCCATCCAGTAAATATACCTAGGCTCTTTTGAAAACCTGCTTCCACGCCGTTGCATTGCCAAGTGTTCTGCTAATTCTTCTCCTTCCCCTTAATGTTCAGTGTATGTCTTGTAAATTGGACACAGATGCGGGGTTCGTACAAAAAAGGAATACATTTTTTCAGCT